ACACACATGTGCACGTGTGAGTGTGCTCCAAACACGTGTGCGCATGTGAGTGTGTGTGGGCCACACTCGTATGTGCGCTCTGACACACGTGTGCACGTGTGAGTGTGCTCCAAACACGTGTGCCCGTGTGAGTGTGTGTGGGGTACACTCGCATGTGCGCTCGACGGATACACGTGTGCATGGGGCACGCTCGTATGTGTGCTCGGACACACGTGTGCATGTGTGAGTGTGCGTGGGGCACGCTCGTATGTGCGCTCAGACACACGTGTGCATGTGTGAGTGTGCGTGGGGCACGCTCACACATGTGTGTCATGTGTTACGTGCGTGAACCGGGCTGAACCGGATGGGAACCGGCGGTTCCACTCTAGAACCGGGCTGAATCGGATGGGAACCGGTGGTTCCACTCTAGAACCGGGCTGAACCGGATGGGAACGCGCCGTTCCACTCTAGAACCCGGGCGGTTCCCGGTTTTCGGTTGAAACCGGGCGAGTCCGGTTCGACTCGCCGTTTTTTAAAAGAAATCAGCCCATTCAACAATAACCTATAATAATTTGGGCACTACTTACCTTCACCACATATGCATCTATATCCCAACCTAAAAAATATATATTATCCACAATTCTAAAATATACGTCATTCACAAGCTATACACACAGCACATAACATTAGTATATTATCTGTTAAGACATTTATGATGCATCTCAAGCAACATTCACAATTCATGCATCCATATATAACCATATATAAAACCAGCTCATTCAACAATAACTTGTAATAATTTAAATAGACACAATTGAAAATGCCCATATCATAGCTGTAATAAGAAAATGGAAATGTTGGTAATTCATGCATTTCTTGTTTGCATAAAAAGATATAAACAAACTCACATCATAGTTGTATATCTTAGAAAAAATATATCAGATTTCATGAACCCATAAGCATTATTCTTAAAAAAGAAAGGTAACAAAATGAGTAAGGTACCTACAACATTCATAATTGGAGCTAAGTAAAACTCAACAAACCCAAAAACAAAAATCACAAAAACAAACGCAAGATGGGAGCGAAGAGAAGAGGAAGAACTAGGGTTCGGGGGTGAAGTTCTGAAACGAGTTCCAATTGTAAGTTCCGACCATACCAATGATTTAAAAATCGGCGAGTCAAACCAGACTCGCCCGATTCAATTCAGGAATCGGCACAGCTCATGTCAGTTTCAGCACAAAACCGGGAAACGCCCGGTTCTATGCGTCACGCGACACGCACCACTCACATGTGTGTACGTCTGACACGAGCGGTACACACTCCCACACATACCACACACTCCCACACATACCACACACACTCCCATAAAGTGCCATATGTGCAACACGCACACGTGTGCACCGGTTCTAACACACCACTCCCACATGTGCCACACGTGCGATACGCACATACATGCGTGCATGTGTACAAATGCCCTAGTGTTTTCACACTTGTGTTTATCTTCCAATTACATAGTTATTTATATAGCATATTTGAATACTCATCATTTGATTTGGGATAATTTTCAAACATCATTAAATGAAAACAAAATGTAAATATATGGTATTAATAGGCAATTTTAAAAGCATATGCTAAGGAGGCATGATGGCTATCACTAATGTTATTTACTTTGACTTTTCAAGTTTGAATCTCCCCCTTGGGCCATATAATAGTTTATCCCTAATTGAGCTAATTTTTGTTCCCCATTGGGCATATAATAAATTAAAGTGTTATTTCCAAAATTTGTACGCATTTTATTATTTTTTACATTGATAACCAAATATTTTATTTTATTTATTAATTTTTACATTATAAATCATGTAATGTACTATTTTTCTTACATTTGTCAATAATACATTTTAAATTAGATAATATTATAAAATATTTTTAATTTGTTATTATCTATCTAATAAAATAATTATAAAATATAAACTAATAATTATAATTTCAATATATAATATTATAATTAGTTAGAATGTAATAATTTTGGATTATAGTTAGTTAGGCTGCAATAATTTGGGTTTTCGCCAAAACGAGATTTTAATGGCCATTCTTTCATTGATTTAGTCTACTCTTTTTATTATAGTCAATGTATAATTATATATTTTATTCATGATAATTCTATGATTTTTCTTTTATGTGATGCAAATTTAATACTTAAGTTTATACAGGGAAAGAACATCTCAATATTCACAAATTGATGAAAAAAATGAAAGTTAATAATATAGTACCCTCGTTTCTTATTGGATTCATAAAAAAAAACATTTATAATGAATTTTAATAATTTTTTCGGATTTTTTTGAAGCTTTAATCCGACCGATTCAGTGCCCTATCCGGATCGCTGATGCGCTAATCTGGATCGATTTTTTAAGTGCCCGATCCCGATCACCAATCCGCTTTTTAAACCATTGGTTCCGACCTTTTGGTCGGAACTTTTTTTACCCCCGAGGTAGGAATATGAACCGTGAAGTTCTCATTTGAACTTCCATTTTTTTATTAAACACAAAACATGAATAGTATTAATAGAGGAACGATTTCGTGCATTGTATTATAATATATAATGCAACCCCATTAGAAAATCATGTTTGACGCAATTTTTTAGATGTATATTCTTTTTATTCTAAAGAATAATCATAAAAAATAAAATTTAGAAAAAAAATGGCCTAAAAATATATTTCTAGCTCAATTAATATAAGCCGTTCATTTTAGTGAGAAAGTTAGATGTAGGCCTCAAAAGGATTTTTTTTATTCCCAAAATTTTTATATAGTGTTATCATCATTAGATTAACAATGCCAAAAAGAACAAAGTGATTTTGAATTTGTCAACGCCTAGATCATGAAATTCACCGAATGGATGGTCGAGATTCGTTGTTAGAAGGTACTAATTTTTACCATATCTAGGATGCAAATTGAATTTTTTTCCCATAAAATTGATTATGAGGATAAAAATAATGTGTGTGCAAACTTTGGAGTCCTACAAATGCCAAAAACATGGTTTTTTAGATGTAGTTGCATTGTCCTATGATACAACCGCTATATGAAATCATTACTCGTATTAATAAGTTTTCCAATCCAAGAACACACTTCCAGTTATCAAACATGCTCGAAAGGGGCATCTAAATTAGTGTAGGAGACCACTACTTGCGCCAAGCACTCGGCCCATGCCCAATTTGTGTACTCAGACTGAGTCTGAGTAGCACGGAGTTATGTGGACTACATGAGCAAAAATCTAGTTAAATAAATTTAAAAAAAAAATCTAAAAAAACTAAAATGTTTGTTTAAAGTAAGATAAAGCAAATCACATCAAAATGACATTAAAAAAGTAGTTAAAAATAAATTTTAAAAAATAAACTTGTGATGGAGATATTTTCAAAATAATTCATAAAAGATGGAAATATTTTTAACGTAAGAATTTATAGCCAAAATACATTCCAATCTTGACGAAAAAACATAAAAAAATAAATCTCCAATACATTATTTTTTTTTATAATTTGTAATGATTTGTTATGAATTTTGTTTAATATCTCCGAATAGCACACCCAACTCAGGCTAACGCGTGCTCACCATGGTATCGAGCCCCAGTACTTTGCTAGATTACTCGCTGCTCAGGCCGAGTAGTGAAACGCAGGTCGGCTGCCACCAAGCCTCGCTCTAAAAAAACGTAGGAGTTGGGCCACAATCTATGTCCTGAGGGCCAGGCTAAGGCTAGTGCCAGCTCGGTTCGGCCTGGTCCAATCCTTTGTTTTTCCATCATCTTTCCCACCCAGCCCACCCCATCAGGGCCGTTCCTGGGCGGGCCCATATGTCCACAAGGCCCGGCCAGTACACTTAGTAGGTATTACGCGTGGCGTTTAGAGAGGGGTGTGTGCGTTTTAGAGAGAGCTCCAGGGCAACGGCTATAGCTCTAATGGGTATCACATGTGGCTTCAATGTAATCTTCAATTCAAATAAAAATACTATTTTTAAAAATATTAAATTGACAAGAAACACCATTTATTAAATATTTAACGAACGAAATGCTTCGACGGCACGCACCACATTTAATAACTTATCGTCCTTTTAATGCATGCACAACCAACACGTTGCTCTTCACCCCCACATGGCCTTCTGTCCACGTGGGAACGCCCATATTAGCCACGTCATCAGTCGAAGCATAAATTGATTCCAAGAATACCCATGCCTGAAATGTCAATGAAAAACTCCGGAATTAAAAATGCTGATCTTTTCACTTATGGAAAAAAATACTTTTGGATTTCGGCGTGGGGCCGATTCCGAAATTCGCATTTTTCGGGACGAAATATTCCCGATTGGGTAAACGTGATATTTGAAAATCAGAAGGGGTGATTTTTTTGATACAGAAGTGTGAAGGGGTTGGGTAGTAGGGAATCTGAAGATTTTCAAAAGCAGGGCTTCGTTTGAACCCGGCACGTCTAACGAAGAAGCATGCTCTCTCTTTCTCTCTCTAGAAAGAAAGCGCTAGAGAGAGATGGGACGCGATTTCCAAGAGCGAGAAAGAGGAGAATTCCCTGTTTTTTATCGTGACTTGTACTTATGACTTCTGTTCCCCATAGAATATGAGCGCAAAAACTAGAGAGAGAGAAAGAGAGAGAGAGAGGAGGAAAATGTTTTCGATACATGGATTTTAGAGAGAGAGAGACGCTGCTTTGAGAAGCAATAGGTAGAGAGAGAGGGTTCGTTTCCGGTTACCAGTGATGTGATGTGTTCCTGCTCCATGTCGAGCTCTGTTGAAAAACTACTCGTCTTTGATAGATGGAAAGACATATCCTTGTTACCCACTCCGCCTAGAGAGAGAAAGAGAGAAGAGAGAGAGAGAGTTGTCCGTTACTCCATATGTTTGTTGCAGAGAGCGAGAGGTACGTAGAGATTGAGAGAGAGAGAGAGAGAGAGCTGGCATGGTAAGCATAACCAAGCAAATCCACAAGCGTCGCGTCTTTTGTTAGTAGAGAGAAAGTTAAACGGATATGTCTTCTGCTTCTTCTTTGAGGAGGGGAACAACTGCAAAACTAAAATGGCACCCACCTGCGCCCCCAACCCCAAGAATTCTCCACCTCCCTAGACGAACCAGAAAACCAAGGCCCTCTCCCCCCTCCTCTAATAAAACCAGCAAACCCCATCATCATAATATCGGGCCGAAATGCAGAGGCAAACTAGAGACCCTCTTTGATCAGGAGCGAGCCTTCTCAAGAACTGTACCCGTCGTGCTCCTGCAACCCGAACAGCAGTGTAGAGAGAGAGTGGATGGGTGTAGAGAGAGAGAGGAGGATTCGTGGATTTTTCAGGCTGAGTTGTTGAGGGCGGAGTGTAACCTGCTGAGGATGGAGAGGAGAGTTGCAGAGGAGAAGTGGTTGAGGCGCCGCTCCGACATGGTCGAGGCTATGCGCTCTGTTGTCCATACCCTAAATTTGGTATCCCCCTCTCTCTTCATTTGGGTCTCTCCTCTCTCTTTATATCAGTGTCTTCACTCTCTTCTCTCTTTTTGAACTCTCTCTCTTCTCTCTCTGTAATTTTTACTGTCGTTCTCTTTTTCTCGTTCTCTGCAATTTTTACTATCACCACCTTCAAATTCCTGCATTGATTTTTTACGAAATGACGGAAATACCCCCATCGTCTTCGTCATTTTCACGAAAATTCACGCAAAATTGCCGTTTGCACCACGTTACCACGAAGAAAACGGCCCTCACAATAAAGGGCACTATGGCCCTATCTCAAAAGTGGCCTTTCATGAGGGGTAGTACAGTCATATCTGAAAACCCTGGGAAGGTCTTTTGGTCATTTTACGTTGGGGCCTGAAACTTTGTGCCTTTAAAATGGCAGGAGAGGAAGAAGCTCTGCAAAAACCCTAATTTGCAGATTGTTTTGCATCAACAAGTTAGGGTTTTGCAGGACCAAATCGAGGAGATGCAGAGAGATTCAGAGGAGAAGGAAGCGGAGGGCCATGGCAATTTTGATCGCCGGACTTCATTTCTCAGGCGAAAAATCGCAGGATTCCGGCCAAGCAACGCCGGAGAAGATGAAGGTTTCAGGGAAATTAGGGAAATTGCGGAACAAAGCTTGAGCATTACCCATTGCTGCACCAGCGCTGACAACTCTGTTTCAGATCCATGCAATCGCATCTCAGATGTAGGTTTTTTACCATTTCGTGAAATGTCTTAGCTTCTGGCTCTTGTGCATTTGGTTCTAGTTGACCTTCCTTTTTTGGCAAACAATGGAAAATCCCCTCTGCTTGTCTTTGTATTTTATTTAATGGTTTTTTTTTTTACGATTTGCATTTTCAAAGGGAATGTTGTTGCTTTTAATTCTCTGCATCTTTCTCTTAATTTCCCTTCTAGTCTTTGAGTAAAGTTTGGGACCATTTCTCCTTCCATTGAAAACCCTAATTTTCTTCTCGTGGTTCAGCTTCTCATTCCTCTGACTCTCTGGTTTTTGAATTTGAAATCCTGATATTTCCTTTCCATTCCCGGAAGCATTTTGAATTTGTGAAGACTGATGACTTTTCTGTGTCTTTCTAATATATATTAATTAATCATTTTGGTTGAAGAAAAATACTAAAATACCTTATTAGTTATTACTCTTACAAAGCTGACAGTGATCCTGATTTTATATTACAAAAGACCAGTTTATAAAATCTTGGTCCAAATTTCCTGATTTGCCCACTCGTTTTGCAAGAAAACCCTAAATTCTTCAAAATTAAACTTTTTGGCATTTTTCTTTCTTCTTTAGATTGACACTATGTTGTTCTCCTCTACGTTCTATTTTCCCATTTCAGTGTTTATTTTTGTGTGGAAAATATTTTCCACCCTGCTTATTTATTTGTTTAAGAGAAATTCACACTATTATCCCCAAAGTAAGTGGTATTTAAAAAAGGGCGTGGTTTGTGCAAGGTTGCGATATTAAATAATTAACATAAATCTCATTTCAAAACTTTTTTTTTTGTAAGATGCAATTTTGGTGTCCAAAACTCTTTTGATGATGGCTTTATAATTTATTCTTATATCAAACTATAAAACTTTTTACTCTAAAAATGATACAAATCAAGCAAACCCAAGGGTTTTGTTGGGTATACACTAAAGTCCTTAACCGTTTTTGGACACTTGAATACCTTAAATTATAACATGAAATTTTCAAGTAAGGGCATTTTTTATCATTTAAAAAGATATAATGGATATTTAAATAAAAAATAATAATATTTTATTAATAGTTAAAAAACAATTAATGCATCACATGTCAATATTGTCCACTATTGTTAATAAATACTTTTTTTTTATTAGGAATTTTTGCTTTACTATTGATTAATTACTTACTAAGTGCGGTTTTTATAAAGTTGTAACTTTAAACGATCCAATTAAGGCGCACCTCCAAATTTTATCATACCATGTAATTTTGTTGTAAATTTTTTTTAAGATTATCGTAAAAAATATTTTCAATGTCTAATTAGAAAATTTTTAACTCCAAAAATGGTTAAAATCAAGTAGATCTATAAACATATGAAAATCTTGAAAATTGATGGTCTAGATAATGTGTTGCAAGATCTACGGATTCAAAAACGTTTTTTTTAGTATTCAAACATCTCGATGTCGAGATGATCAATTAGACCGCTTTTTTAGCATTAAAGCGGTCTTTCTTATATATTTTTGAAGTGCATATGTGATTCCACATGTTAAGGTTGCAACTTTATATAAACTCTTCTCTTACTTAAAATACCTCTAGACAAAAAAATTATTACATTAAAGGATAAGGGTATCTAAGTTTCGGAAAAAGTTGAGGACTTTAAAGTATATACCACAATAGCCTAACAGACCTTTTTTTTTTTTTTTTTAATGATACTTTAATTCTACATTATAAAGTGTTAACCTTATGTATTTATTTAATTTGTTGCAGATTATGGTGCTGCGGGAGAAATTGGAAACGTTATGGACAGGGATGACAGAGAGCAGGAGGGCAATTCAGTCAAATAATAAGGCAAGTGTTCCAATTACCAAAATGTCCCTATCTCGCATCTCACACTCCTTTTACCACCCATTTTTTCTTTGTTTTTCTCTCTCCTCTCGAGCCCCAAAATTAAGAAAGTTTATTTAATTCTCAAACTGAAATAAACGGCCTTGACCCCATACCTGATCTCTCGTGAAAGAACTCCAACTTTTGCTGTCACTCGACTATCACGCTCCTTGAATTTACAAAAAAATACTTGATTCTTGGATTGCTTCAGGGGGTACGTATGGAGAAGAAAGAATGCTCAAATAGGTGTAAGAGTATGGTGCGGAAGGTTTTGGAGCACGTTCAGGCAGAGGCGGAGCAGTGGTGCGAGGTGCAGGAGGTGCTGGACCACGTACGTTTAGAGACGGAGGAGTTGCAGAGGTCGAGGGACTTCTGGGAGGACCGAGCCCTCGAGGCGAATGAGAAGGTCGAGACCCTGCAGATTGCGGTAAGCCCAGGAATCCCTTTCTTTACTTTACCTTCATGGATTGGGATGTGCTTGAGATGCATTTTGATAATGGGGAGTAATAGTTGTTTTGAAATAATTCAGGGAGCCTAGGGGCATTCACAAAAAGTGGGGATGGTCTAGATCTTGTGGTAATTTGATCATTGTCTACTTTGAGCGATATTTCAGTAAGGAAAATGTTTTGATAGGCTTGCAGCACCATCAAAACATGTAAAGCAGAAAATCGTAATTTTGGCTTTGGAAAATCTTCAAATCAATCATCTTCAACCTCCTCTACCTTGTTGTGAAAACAAGGCAAAAAAATGAGGTTTTTATAAGGCCTAGGGTTTATAAAAACAAAATAAAGTTTCACCTCAAATCCTTGTCAAGAAAGTAATTTCGGTAGAAATCTCTATTATGTCTCTAAAATTAATTTCCAATACCGACAATAAAATTTGAAACTCAAAAAATGATATACATTTTGCGGATCTGTAGACACTTATTTTTAAAGTAAAATTGACGGTCTAGATAATATGCACTATATTTAGAGCTCGAAATCTTTTTTTTTATTTTTTTTGCACAACCGTAATGCTCAAGTCGAGATGATTGATGTAAAAGTTTTTTTGATGCTTGAATTGCAATTTTCGATGAGTTATATGGAAAGCATTTACTCATTTTGATAGGGCTGAAGCCCTATTAAACCATTTTTGAAAAGAAAAAAAGAAAAAAAGATTTCAAACCCTGAAAATAGTATATATTATAACATATTATCTAGACCATCCATTTTCAAATGTCCATAGGTTCGTAAGATTTTTCCATGCCTAAGGTGTTTTTCAGTTGAGGTTTTAAGGTGAGGGTTTGCTTTTTTTAGGAGGTCTAAGCCTTACAGAAATTACATGATATTTTAG